GTATGGGTGATTTTGGAAATTTTTTGAACGGTTTCGCTAAAAGCCCACGATTGATCGTCCTGAACATTGAAAAATTGTGAAATGCCGTATTCTGTCCGAGGTCTGTATGATAAAAAGTACTGTTTCACCTCAGATGTGATGTATAAAAAGTATAAAAGGTTGGTTTACACACCCTCAGATTTGTTGGCAAAAATTTGTAAAGTAAACCTGTCGAACGCAAAAAAATGCGGCCTGATTTGTTTTCCAAGAATTTATTTTCGAGGCCTAATCTACTGTGATCAAGGGCCATTATGGCTCTTGAATGTGATAGAAGATGTTTGCTATTTTTTGGGTGTACATACATGTATATTTAGGCTATCAACTCGATGTAAGATGTTTCACTCTAAAATAACTTATCCTTTCCCTCAAAAGTCATATGAATGTGCCCTTAAGTTAACTGATCATGATTTGTGGATTACAAGTTTATTGTTTGATTTAAAATATAAATTTATTAATGGGAGCTTCGCTTTTAGCCCTGGCTAAATCTATATATTAGCCACACTTTAATACTTGGCTTCGTGAATGAAAAATGTTGTCTCTGTATGTGTTTCACCGAATTATATTTCTTTTATTGATTGTTGGTAGTCTCTCTTGTAATTTTAATCGCCGTGCCGTTTGTTTTCAGTCGTTCAGTGAACATCGCTTGCAGGAGTACTCAAAATGCCGAGCGTATCAAACCGGCGCTTTTAAAAGATTACACATCGATAAAACCATATAATAAAACTGAATAAACATCATAGTTTCTTTATTATGTTGTAGCTCAACTCTAGTATGTTCGTTCAAACACTCGCTACAGCTCGCACTGCAGAAGTGAGAACCGGCTGGCCGTATATGTGATTTTGGAAATTTTTTTAACGGTTTAAAAAGCCCACGCGTGCTTCGATCGTCCTGAATATTGAACGAGGGCAATTTCTGTTGCAAAATTGTGAAATACTGCATTCTGTCCGAGGTCTGTATGATAAAAACAGTACCTCATAGTACTGTTTCACCTCAGATGTGATGTATAAATGGCATAAAAGGTTGGTTTACACGCGCCCGGATTTGTTGGCCAGATTCTGGAAAGTAAACTTGTCGAACGCAAAAAAATTCGGCCTGATTTTTTTCCAAACCTAATTAATCTTACGGTGATCGAGAGCCATTATGGCTCCTAAATGTGATCGAAGGTGATTGCTATTGATTTTTGATTTTTGGGTGCACATATGAGGCTATCAACTTGATAGAAGACTTTGTTCACTCTTGGGCTGTTTGCAAATCATTTTTCTCTAAAATCACGCAGCCTTTCCCTCAAAAGTCAATTGAAGAATGTGCTATGTGCTCTAAAGTTAACTGAATTGTGGAATATATACGAGTTTATTGTTTGATTTAAATTATAAATATATTAATGGGAGCCTCGCTTTTAGCCCTGGCTAAATCTATATTATTACTAATACCATTTAAGCTCATGCAAGAGAACTCTCCTGGAAAACACTAGAAGAGGGTCTACAACTGGAAGCGGTCACTAAATATAGAAATGATCCTCTGAAGCTGCTTCCCCGGGGGGAGGGGGTATTCCTGGGAATGCTGCCACAAGTGCGCCTATCTCCGAAAAAGCCATCAAAACGATAAAATAGTTTTGTTTTTCAACTTAGAGAATCATGTAGTGCGCTTTCATTTGCTTGTTCTGTAAATCGTTTGTAAGGCACCATTTCTTGTTCCACAAAAAGAAAGTCATCTTGCTACCCACAATGTAACTTCGAATCCTATAAATTACGGATCACATGTTTTTTTTCTTGTTTTTGTCTTAGTTTTTTTGTCGGCTAATAAGAGGTAGAGAGTTAGAGATCCTTCTGAATGAAAATCCTTGAGTATTGCCGTGAAAAAAAAATAGGATTTTCTGTAAACCTAAAATACTGTACGTTTCTGCTCTTCACATCGCCCTTCACCAATGCAGTCAAAACTGTCAAGACAGTTTTTTTCATCTTTTGAGAAATTCCAGTTAATTTACGTCCAATTGAAAACCTAAATTTGTTTGGAATATTCTGCGTAGTAAGCAGTTCTTTGCTTAACGCATGCTGTGACGGGAACAGCAGGCTTCCCCTCCAACTTTTGCTCTTACACAAGAACGTTTGCTCAATGGCGTTTGCGTCGACTTTTTCAATGCAGATATAAAGTTACTGAGAAGCGCGCCAAAGTGCTCTTTCTTTTTCCCTCTGTCCCCCGTTCCCTCCCCCCCCTTTCCCCCCCTTCCCGAATTAAATGAGCTTGTTCGCGCAGGCTAGCGTTTACCTCTTGGTTTTACAAACGGTAGCATGGCGTTTATCATGGGCGGAAATTTCATTCACATCGAGGAGAAAATATATAATCACCCCGTTTTCTCCGTTGAAGCCAAGTCTTCAGTTATTATTGGATTCCCTGCTTATCTGAATTTTCACTCTTTAGACTTGAAATCTTGAATTTCAGTATTTGTGTTTATGTTGTCTTT